TGTATTATCATAACTCCAGAATACCTGAAGCGATATCAACAATTTTTAATATATTGATCAATTGCAAGCTAATAGACACAAGCATTGTTTTTAAAACAAGAAAGCAACTTTATAAATCTTTTAATTAATTGACATAAAACTAGGGTTCTTACATTTAAACACTGCATGTTTAAAAAATTAACTTTTATGAGACTTTTGAAACAAGTTTTTTAACAATTCTTGTCAGAACAAAAAAGAAATTTTTGGTTAAATGTCACTTATGCCAACTAGCATGTAAACTGGTAATACAAGATGTACCGCTAAATATGCCACACAGAATATCATCAAAAATATAAGATATAATATATTTTTTTCTTTTCAGAAATAAATAGTATTCTACATTCTGTAATTTAAAAAATTGTTTTGTCTTATCTTCTTCCCTCTTAAAATTTTAAATTGAAAAATATATTTAATCAGCTTAATAATAATAAAATTATTTAACTAAGAAAAATACTGGCAGTTAAAAGCTTTTAATTTAGTATTTTAAAAGATATTAACACTTTTATAACAGAACGGAAGATTTATTACGATTTATAAATACCTAGAGATCAAAATAAACAGATCTGTGCCTCTATTGTTTTGATTAAAGTGTTAATAATATTCAAAGTACATGTTCAAAAGTTATTATCAACCTATGATTTTCTTACTTGTAAGCGCAAGTCAAAATGCATATTTTCATTAATAAACTAAAGATGTTACAATTTTAAGAGAGGGAAAGGGAATAAAACTATATTTTTTTCTGTTATTTAAATGTGTAGGATACTAATTACTTCTGAATAGAAAAAAATTATATTCTATCTTGTACTTTTAATGATATTGTGAGACATATAATTTGTATATTACTCTGTATAATTTACATCACTGCAAAAAAGTATGAAGTGTCACATGACCTTTACACTCCAGATAATGGAAATAATAGGAGAATGTAAAAAAAAATAAAAAACTAACAATTTTAATTTTGATATCTACTGTACAAAACTATCAATTATCCTCAAAGAGTTTGAAAATTAAGAAAATTAAGAGCTAGTGATTTAAAACAAAGACTAAGTAGTAATTACTCCACAGTAATTCACATTTTATGGGAGAGATATTAATGAGAACATTTTTTACATCTCCTCAAAGATTTTTTAAATTGGGGCTAATACAAAAGTTTTAGTGATTTTTTACTTAAAAAATATTGTGTAAAAAATTTTGTGTCAATGAAGGGAAGTTTAGCCTTTTAGCTTCGATGCGAAGCTGAGAAGGTATTGGTTTTACTAAGATATGTTTTTTTTTTTTTGTCTCTTACCACTTTTTCTCAGCTCTCACCGAACCGATTTCTTTCAATGATACGTCAAAAGATCACAAATCGTATCTAGTCGAAGACATTACCCTTAAAAATTGAAAAAATTTCCCTCGTCCCCCGTAAATGGGGAAACCTCCGAAAAAATTACAAATTTAAAAATGGCTAATTTTTTCAATTTTTTTAATTTTTTTTACTAAAAACTGCCGTAACTTTTTTAAATATAAACATATCAATATAATTCTTTTTTTTATAGATGCATAATGTTACCTATCATTTGGTATATATTTTTTATAAATCTGACTTTTTACCTGCCCACAGGGGGGGATTTAAAATGACAACTTTTTTACAAAAAATTAATTTTTTCAACTTATCTTTTGAAAGTGTTCCGAAAGGTCTGACACTTTTATATATATCTTAAATTAAAGCTAATGTAATATACTTTATCATGAAAAAAAAAAATTTCGGACTTTATCTTATCTTCATGGTGAAAATGACTACCAAATGCTATTTTTGTGTGAAAATGTTCGATTTTGTATTTTACATTTTTAACTTTATTATGCTATAACTTTTTGACAAATGTATGGATCATTACAATTTTTTTATGAATAGTAGTATTTATATAGATCTTTCATTCGACATACTTTTTTTTTAAATCGGACCATTTCCCTTAATACAGGGGGGATTCAAAACATAAAAATGCATATAGAAAGTAGAACTTTTTCAACTTAATTTTTGAAAGTGTTCCGGAAAGTCTGACACCTTTATATATATCTTAAATTAAAGCTAATGTAATATACTTTATCATGGAAAAAAAAAATTTCGGACTTTATTTTATCTTCACGGTGAAAATGGCTACCAAATGCTATTATTGTGTGAAAATTCTCAATTTTATTTTTTACATTTTTAACTTTATAATGCTATAACTTATTGAAAAGTGTATTGATAAACTAGCAGATCATGTAGCTTTTGGAATAATCCACCAATGTTTTAAAATTAAACATTATCTAAAGATTTGCATCGAAGCATTTTTTTTTGATAGTGATTTTAATCACTGTCAGATATCATTATACTTGATCCATCTATGTCACGTCACCACTGTGCCACGACCCCCCTGTGCTGGGTTTTTTCAATTTTTTAACATCCCTGAATACACTACTGCCCTTTAAAAAAAAATGTATTTTCATCATGCACCCAATTATTTTTGATCTGTAGAATCTAATCCCCCATACCCCTTCGTTATACTCACAAAACTAACAAACTAGACAAATTGGAGTTATCTTGTCTATTCTAAAATATAAAATACATACTTTACTCCTTAAAGAACAAAATTATAAAACGTGATTATATAAGAATTTTTCTCTTTTTGTTCTATTTGGTATTTTAAAATAATCCCTTCAGTTGGGTATTTTTAATATTTTATGGGGAATTATTCTCACATTATATCAATAATTGGCTTTTAAAATAATTATTCTTTATGTTTCATAGTAGATACACACATTTCGAACCAGGGTCATAATTAATCACAAAACAATATACTTGTAACGACACCTAGCGACTAAATAAAGATACATAATACATAGACGTGACTTCTATTATAACTATTATAACTATTATCATAACCTGATAAGATTTGCTGGACTTATCATTTTACAGAGCACATGGAAAAAGTATATCTGGTGAGTTTTAGGGTTAATGTAAACATTAAACAATTTTCACTATATACACAATAATCTTGTAGATTTATATTTNGTTCTTTACTTTTATTCGTAAAACAAAGATGATCTTACTCATAACATAAATATAAATTAAATTATTTTAATAATCAATAACAAAAGTATAAATATTAACTAGATTAAGTATGCTCATCAAATAATAATAATAATAATAATAATAAATCTATAATAATAAATAATTATTATAGATAAACAAAAAAAATTAATAAACAAAATAAACCAATATCTAAATAACTTAATAATATTAAACTAATAATTTTTTATTTTGGAACAAAAATGTAAGCATATTAACATTTTTTGTCAATAAACAGCTTCTTTTAGATGTCACTATATTTCCAGCAGTGGAGAAACATCTCTCGGAGCTCACTGATGTAGCAGGAATAGCGAGATATTGTTTTGCTAACGCTGTAAGAGTTGGATATTTATTCTCTCTCGATTTCCACCATTCATATGGATTTTGATCGAAACGTAATGAAGGTTCAGCAATGTAAATTTGAAGTTCATTAATTACATTATCATCAGCTGTTATTGTATTTCCGTATAAATATTCAAGATCGCTTTGAACTGGTGGGATTTGTTCTAAATTAATTTCTTGTTCGTCAAATCTTTCTAGCAAATTTTCTACAGCCATACGAATTTTTTCTCTCATAAAATTGGGTTCAAACTCTAAATCTTTATATCGAGGATCTAGAAAGGATGCAATTTGTCTGACAGAGACAGAACTTGTTTCATTACGTTCAAATTTGAATCGTTCTTTAATTTCAAATATAATTGTATTTTTGAAATCAGTGATATATTGATCATCGGTTACTTTATGCTTAAAATGGCAATCCAATAATTTTGATAATAATGATAGAACCATTGACGCTGGCGAATGGTTCTCCGAACAAAATAGATTTGTTACAACATATAACGGTTTGAGGAGACTTATAAGATTTTCTATTTTTAACCATTGGGATTCAGTTATTTCCAATTTTTGCGCAATGTAAAAAGACGTTACTGTTCTATCTGCCAATACATTTGAAACTGGACTTCTGTTTTTTAAAAGGCGGTCTAACATTAAATATACTGAGTTCCATCGTGTCTTACAGCATTGCACTAATGATTGAGGCAAAAGTCCTAGCTGTTCTTGTTTGTTTGATAATGACTGTTTGGCTACATTCGAGTGTTTGAAATGTCCGACTACAGCACTACACTGTTTTATTATATCTGAAAATATTTCTGGTTTTATTGCAACATTAATGGCTAATTGTAAACTGTGAGCTGCACATGTCACATCCATATTTTCATTGTCTATTGTAATATCTAGTAATTTTACAGCATTTACTATGTTTTTTGCGTTATCTGTAATTACAGTACTGACTTTACCATTAATTTCCCAATTTTCAAAAATACAAGTTAAATTTTCGGCTAGATTTACTGCTGTGTGACGTTCTGTCATTTCTTGTGTGGCTAAAGTAAATGACTTTGGTGTCCATTGGTTATCGATTATGTGAGCAGTTAACGATATATATGAGTTTTGAGCTATTGAAGACCAACCGTCAGTGGTGCAAACTACACTTTTCACATTTT